ATTTATAGCAGAGAATTAGTCAAATATAGAATTCGACAGAAAAAAGACCAAATCTATTTGATTTCGCTAATTTCTATGGAACTTTGAACTCTAGAATTTTTTCAAAATTTCTATTATTTGTTTTAAGCATATCAATGTCTGTTTCCAGATGAAGTTTTTTGTAAAGTTAAACAAACTCTGAAGTTTCTGTGCAAACTACAAAAATTAAAAAAAAGAAAATTCACATCCAAAATTCATTTTTTAGCTAGCATTGATCAAAAACTTTTGAGAATTGCTTCTATTTCTTTTTTTTTCTATGTTTTCGTTTCTGTTGCTTTTGCCAAGTATGAATCAAAGTCGATATTCATCTAGACTCAAAACAATATACATGTGTTTGATATTTATCAATGATTAAATAAAATATGTTTTGAATATGTACAAAATTTATTATTTACAAAAAAAAAAACTATATGTACATTACACAAAGACAAGAAGGACGACGAACAAAACCACCAAAAAGAGGGACCACCAAAGCATTAAATCCACTGTAATTGCCACCTTGAGGTCGATAGCAATTGGTCTGTAATTAAAATAAATCAATATATGTGTATATTAAATATTTGATGAACTTACTCGGCTGGTTCATTATTATAAGTGTGATGAATGGGGGGAGGGACGACAACGGGGACTTGTGATTGATTAGTTTGTTGTTGTTGTTGACGTTGTAATTGTCGTTGTTGTTGTTTTAATTGTTGTTGTAATTGTCGTAGTTGTTGTTGTTGTTTAAGCAACTGACGACGATAATATTGATGACGATGATCTAAATTGAAATCATAAGATTCATTTTCAAGTATAGAATAACTTACGATGGATTGTAACACGATCCATTGAAGATAACGATGAGGAAGACAAGAAACAAATTATTGAACAATTGAAGATAGAATGAACAGATTAATGAAAAAACAGGCCTATTTATACGTGAACAAACCGTTATGGCAAAGGACAGAACAAAAGAAAAAAAAAAGCCCGCTTGATTTTCTAAGGAACCAATAACAAGAAAGTGCCCATGGATGGCGTGCATAGACGGACATATGTTTTTCTTTTCATGTATTTTAGTTTTGAAAAACAGAAAAATCGACAATTATCACAAAAATCTTTGATAGAGCTTTGTTTCGCCACTTTAGAATATAGATAAATGTCACTTAATTGTGATTCAAGATCAGAGATGATCGTACAGATGAGTCTGTTGCTCAGACACAAAAAAGATCAACCTGATAATCTATGACCACTTTAATTACACTTAATTAGTACAATCTTGTGTTCCACAATCAACACTCATCGATGCGACATAAAGATCCCTTTCTCTTAATACTTGTAACAAAAGGACACAAATTTTTCAATGTGATTATATATATATATACCAATCTCCCCTATTCAACACAAAGAACGTGTTTTTCTTTACCACTGAGATCCATCTTTTTTTTCCATTCCATTCCAGCAAAAATCGTTCCGTCGGACCACTTAGTGTCCACTATGAGAGGTTTTACTGTATCTTCAATGATTCTCTACGATTCTAGTCGTTGATCGCTCCAGAACTATTGTACGAAATTGTTTCTATTTAAGAAAACTTGAATCAGTATTATTCCATGAATTCATATTGTTGTGAACTCTGGTTTCATTTTTTATTGAGTTGTTAATTAAGCTCTGTATTTCAGCATTTTTTTCTACCTGTAGCTGGTTCTCTGTTTTCATTTCATACGACTTAGAATTGATGATTTTTCTTCTTTTTTTTTTATAACGGAACGAATCAGATCTATTAAATCGATCGCTCACTTGCTAGGGTCTAA